TGCGCGCGAAATAATGGCACGACAGAAAAGTGCGAGCCGCTATATTTCTTCGTGTCGAGCGACTGCGAGAGCTGTGTGTCGTCAGGCATCGTGAAAATTTATGGTTCGACGTTTCTCTCTCGCGGTGAAAAAAAAAAAAACGGACGACTTCTCGCGCGTCTTCGAGGCGAAGGTGTAAACTATGTAAAGTAAACGAAAAAGTAAAAAGAAAAAATAACAAGCTCTCTCGAGAACCTTCTCTCTTCTTCGCGAGCGCTAAAAAGCGCTGAACTTACACCGCATCGCATTTTCTGAGCGACAATTTAAGAGAAGAAATTTCGATCGAAAAATAATAATTAAACGTATTTCTGCGACGGAAAAATTGGAAATAATACAGCTTACGTAGAAGCAGGTCGAAAGATCGTTGTCATCGATGTCGCCATCGTCATCATCATGATCGTCGCCGGTCTTGTGCAACCGCATGTGCGGTCCCTCGTTCGGTTCTCCAAAGAATCGGCGGTACACCGCGACGTACTACCGTTCCGGGCGATTGGTAGGATCGACTTCCGCGGCTGGCCGTCTTTCCGGAAGGGAAAGGACCCGGGCTGGTTCCATCACAGGTTGGTGCACGTTCATTTGCGAGGTGCACGACGCGCGCTCGTCGCCGAATGACTGTACATACGTCTCGAGAGTTCCACCTTCCACCAGCTAGTGTAGCGACTCTAGCCAAGTTGGAGGAGGAGAAGGTGGTAGAGGCGGAGGAAAAGGAGGATAGAGGGGAAGGGGATAAGTAGAGGTTACGCGGGGCGTAATATACACGTAAGACCGCGCGAGAAGAGCGCATGGCGTGCGTGTGCGTGTGCGTGTACTTGTGCATACGCGCGCATTTCGTGTCAGAGCGGGATGCCAGGATCTCCTGGCCACAGGATTACAGGAATGTTTCCGAAAACCTGCACAAGTTTCTCTCCTCCACGTAGTATTTCTGGACTCTACACGCCGTAAAATTTATTTAATAACCGTAAGCCACCTCACGACCGCAAACGAGTAGACCTTCGCAAGTATAATCGCGACACACGATATTTTCCGCATCGAAAACGCATTATATTATATCATATGTGCGCCTTTTTTTCTTCCTTATTGCTAGTCAAAGTCGCAAAGAATTGAAGAGGATCTCAGTAGAGAGATTGAAATTAATATTGGAATTTGTAAGTAATCAATTACAAATGTTATTATTTAAATAAATATAATTTAAATAATAATGTAATTGTTTGCATTTCCAAATTTGATTAGTCCTATGTATAACCGTACCTTAAACTCGTATATACTAACCATTGATTTGTAACTGTACGGAAAACGTGATTATTAATCGCGTGGAGATGGAATGATGAAGGATCGCAAGAGCCAATATAACTGCGGACATTTATGAGTGAATAAAATATTGAGAGAAATTTCTTATTGAAAATGAACGAATCAAAAGATTCTGATTACATCCATCAGAATTTTAATTATATCACCTAGAATTATAATAGATTCAATCAGACTTTTTCTAATCAATGTATGTATATATATAATAAACAACGGGATCAAAACGTTGGTTAATCAAATGACGATCAATTTATTGGATATCTGACAGATTTCTTGGTACTAAACAACCCTAAATTTGAAATCATAAAAAGCTATTGTTATATAACAGTCGGGCAAAATTATTTAGAAGTCGTAATGGCTGTTTGCTACCAATACCGTTAGAACACGATTATATACATGAACGCACAACGCGTCGCTGTTATTAACACAGGCGTCGACAGGACATTTTTTATCGGCCCCTATGGTAACGCGTTTGCTGCGGGCACAGCTGAAGGAAATGGGAGAATATTTTAACGAAAGCACGCTACAGTAATAGTAGTAACTGTAGGAGGATCGCCATATAAGAGACGAGTCTCTTCCGCTTAGAGGGAAAACGATTAGAAATACAAATTTAAAACACAGAAAAGGAGCTACCTATAACAGAGATACAATGAAGATACAACGAAGATACAATCATAGAAGGATAACGATAAAAAACATAAATATGTTCATATTTTACGTCTGATGCGTTATTTGTCGTATCGCTGCTGGTGATTTGTTTTTCGAGCTATGTAAAATTATTTTTAACGAAAAAAAAAACACAAAGAGAATAGAAGGAGGACCAAAATCCAAGAAACAACAAGTAGAATGACACCGAAAAAAATATTTGATTAAACTAACAAAAAGGAGAGCATTTTGGATACGGAATTTTATATCTCGGATAACCAAGAATTTTGTTTGTTCTCATCAGAATGTCCATTCTTGTTGAAGCTTTTTATATTGTTTTCGTCGAAACATTTTTCTTAGGATATACTTTATAACGCATAAATTATATATTCACGTTATGCTCATAGCGTTTTACCGACCTTATTCTCAAACGTGCGACCCCAGAGCCTTAATTCTACAGTCTTTTATCCCTCTAATAATTTTATAGCATCGTACTGTTTACGAAACCATGAAATTTCTAATTAATGAGATCGATTGCGGAGCAAGCAAGCGCGTTCCACGAAAAAGAAGATAAAAGAACACAAGCTTATGAAAAAAAAAACGAGCTCGAATATCGATATGTTGAAGAAGATTGAAAACAAGCGAATAACATTAAGTCGCAAAGTAGGATAATTAGCGAAATAGTAAATGTATCGCTAACCTTGGCATATTTTCCAAACCACCTTCCGTATCTGCTTTTAACTTTATTGCACAAATGGCACTTCGTTTCTACGCACCTGACTTCCACCACAAGAGCCCGAGTCGACCTGTATTTATATAGGCACCCGATCAGGAGAGTAGCCATAGTCACTATCGTGCTGAAAACTGAACGCAACCCCCGACCGTATACTTATCGTTACTTCTGAGCGTTATCGAAGCGGCGATGAAACAACTGTGGGGTGGTACACGACTACTAATCGAAATCGATCGATCGAACCGTTATTGTATTATAGGATACGCGCGTTTTTCTCGTTGAGCTCCTCGTCGAATCGATTATGCACAATGCGCGCGCCTACGAAGAAATCCTCGTACTCTGTGGATCCACGAAGAAGTAGATTTGATCTTCCGCACGTTTTACGACTGATAATAACGGTTTATTCAAAAACATATTATTATACATGTTACATTTTCTATTTTTTTTTTTTTTTTAGACTCATGCACAGCTGTTCCGTTATACTCATTGTATAAAAACGCGCGGGAATGTCTCCGACACTCGTTGTCGATCGAATTTCACCTAATCCTTCGGGAAACGAAAAATGAGAAACGCGGAAAAATTGTTTTATTGTTCAAATTATAAATAACGTATTGGGCAACTTTCTGAAAACTGATGCGCTCGTTTCGATAGACTCCAAGGACTTTTAATGCACTCACGTAACGATGCATAGGCAATGAATCATCGCATCCTTCTGCCTTCCATTTTCTGCCTTTACAATATAAAGGAAATGGAAAACCGACATACTCTCGTCTCTCGTGCTTTCGGCGTGTCATCGATTATCAGAAACGAAGGATGACGTGGAGAAAGTTTAATATACAATGTTCTCTCATCGTTATTCCAATTTAGAGCAGTTGACATTTCAAGCTTTTCTGATTTTTCTCGCAATCATCACAGATTTCTTTAAACGTTGCGACAGTTTTGAAATTTAATATTAAATATTATTAAATATTAAACACATCCGATAATTGTTTCAACGATTAAATATAACGAATACATACAGCTGACAAAGAAAAATGGAAGGAAAGGGAAAGATTCAGTAAAAAAACGATTGTTGATTTGCCTGAAAGAAGAAGTAAAAGAAATTCTCTTCCCGGAGAAATTCGTGACACATTCCACGGCAAGTGAGACCGATCCTTTGTTGATCCAAGATACGTAATAAAGTGTAAGAACGTGGAGATGTGTTACCTGCTTATCTTCCGTTCCTAACACACGTTTAACACAATGAAAAGCTGAGACATAAAACAAATCTGAAATATTTCGGCCCGAAAATACAGTAGATACTGCCTAGATCTTTTCTTAAGTATTTTTAATTATATCTTGTCACTTCCATTTTCTTTTCTCTCATTGTATTTTTGCGTACAGACGCACGTTCCTTTTTCCGTCGGGGTCAAAGTTCGCTTTTGCCTCGGTCTGTATGTTGAAACGCTTCTTCTCCGCATGCGATCGTATCATCGTAGTTTTGGAAATTTTATGGAAATGTGCTCCGATGCATATGTATGTATATATATGTATACACATACATATATATAGAATTTTATTACAATGTCCTACGTCGACGTAACAAAAGCCCCTTATCTAGGCGCTGATAAGGAAAAAATAGTCTTTCCGCTATTAACAATTACTATCGGTATCTGCTAAATAATGCCAAACGGCTAGTTGGTCGTTATCGCAAGCGCATTTACTTCGCACGCACACATGTACAAATATGCGACATGCATGCACATATATTATCGTATTTACAACTTAATGGCAGCAGCAAGTAAAGACAATGAATCGCTCTATTATTACAATGATGTAACAACAATGAATTATCGCGGTGATGTGGAAGCCCCGGGAGTCTCAACTGTTAACAAGGAGAGAAGGTGGACGACGCTCTTTGCACGGTTTATAGGTCACGTAATCGCGAATGGTTCTTACATTTGAAAAGGTGATAACTAACACATCGAACGTTCGCGAAAAACCTTACGTTATGTCCGTTCGAAAAAAAACAAAATGTGAAACGAAGAAAAAAGGAGAGCATACTTCTTAGTTATTTTTGTCGATTATATTTGTGTGCAATGTCATATCTTGTAATCAATAATTAATTATTAATTATTACGGACAAATTAATTATGGAAATAATTATGACAGTTTTCATTGCCACTCGAAATACCGCAAAAAGTTACGCCTAATGCAAATAGCATAGCGTTTTTTATTTTTTTTTTCTCAATTATTCTCGCGGCAATTATTGCAGTTATTTAATACAGAATCAACTTACCGATTCCTTGGACTTTGCGTTTATCTCGATGACGGCTCTCTGGAGCTCACAGTTCTGTCGACGCAGGAGAGAAATCTATATACGATATATAATTCTTATGTAAGTAATATATTATATGTACCTCTGTATAATAAAAAAAGAAATTATACGAAGGTAATAATCGAAGGTCATAACTATTACATATTAATATATATGCCAGTTCCTCCTCGTTTCTTTCCTGTGTACGTGCACGTCTCATAGTATCAAAAAAATATAACAAGCATTAATATTTATTACTATATGTATATAGATTTTACTGTCGCTAGATCGTTAAGAGAATTTTTTAAATATTACCATAGGTGATAAGTAAGCAAGTTCATCGATAAGCGAACGAGGACAAATCGCTTAAAGAGGGGGATAAAAAAATAAAGAAATTCGTGGTAAAAAAAATTAAAATTATACCGAGTATTAATATTTATTATTATTTTTACTGTCGACAGATCATAAGAATAAAATTTTTTTAATTTTCACACTATTAGTTGATGATAAGCAAACAAGTCCCTCGATAAGCGAGAGCAAATAAACGGGGATCGGAAATAAAGAAATTTGTAAATTCAGAATTTAACGAGATTTATAACGGTATTATGTCGATTTTTACAGATTGTTGTCAGGCGACAGCCGAAGGTTTTAACGTTCGACTTTGGCACTCGAGTAGAGATTCTTTCTGTGAAAATCGAAAAAAATTTCACCACAAGCTGATCTGGATCAGGTTTATATAGCGATCGCGCCCCGGATCCTCGACTTAAATATTAGGAAGCACAGTCAGAAGGAAGTCCGGTGGTGCCCCGTGGATACAGGACGTACGATACGCGTTTACATTTGCTGCTCTTATCTTACGTTTGCATTACGATAACGGTCCCCCACCTCCCACGATCCTCGATGCGTTATCTCACATGACCCTTGGGTACCGCCAAAACTCCCCTCTTCCTGCGGGGTTCCAACTCCCCATTTGTGCCGCGAGATAGAAAAAGCGTCAAATCGTAGGTAAGTAGGCAGGTATGTGTATAAAGTATCTCACAATCGTACGTCCTTTTTCACAATCCAGGAAATATCTTCGACGAGCTTGAATTCAGGCTTTCCTTTCTCTACTTTCCGAGATACCTAATACATATTTCCCGCCGCCTCGGTCTATCATCTTTGACCGATCTAAAAGATCCCTGATCGTAATATCGTTCTAACGGATAAGGCGGTACGCGATGTTTGCTCTACACTCGTTCGCGATTATTGGGGAACGCGACATCTGTTAAAATAATTTCTAATCATAACGTAGCTCTTTTCTCTTATCTGAAGGCAGACATCTGTGCGTATATCAAGTGTGATCTTTTTTATTTATTTATTTTTTTTTTCAATCAATGTGGAAAATACAATCACGAAGGTTAGAATGATTTGAAAGAAAGTCACGTGCATATCGAATTATAGATCAATCACTCGATGGTCCTTTTTCACGACTACGAATTTATATATGAAATGAGAGATTACAAAAAATATTACTTTTAAAAAGAAACGTGCAAATTCCAAGAAATTAACGATTATAAATATTAATTTATATAATATAAATTTATGTGATACAAATGTATTCACCTCTGCATCTTTCGTGGTAAGCAGATCCTGCAGTTGGATGCATCTTTCGTTTGCCTCCTTCAACTCCTTTGATCGGTCATCTGGAAGTAAATAATCACCATCAGATCAGAATCACTTATTACGTTTGATCGTGACATTTTATAAATCGTATTAATCGCTGTTATACTGAAACTTATATTACTAATTTCCTAATTTTTACACGGGAAAATAACTAGAAAAGAATTATGACAAAAGTTAATTATTACGACGTAAATTATTTCGGCAATTTTTAATTAAGTTCCTAACATCTATTTTCCCACAGAAATCCAAACAGAATATGTCGATAAACAATTACGAATAATTGCAAAATTAAAACAATAATAACCTACACGTAAAACTTATTTATAAAAATAATTCAAAAAAAGAAATAAAACAATCGATCTACAACAATAATAAAAATTAATATTAATTGTTGTCTCTAAAATCTATCCATATTCAATGTAACATTCATTTAAAAAATAAATTCTAGATTAAAGTTTTGACTGATAATCATCAACAATCACAGAAATTGATATAATAATAAAACTACATGTAGAATTAATTTGTAGCAAAAAAAAAAGAAAAAATACAACAAATCTAACAACCAAAAAGATAATTAGTATTAATATCGTTTTTAAATCATATTATACTATTTTAAATCATACTGTAATATTCATTATAAAAACGCGTAATAAATTCTCGATCAAAGTTTTAATTACGTTATATCTATTATAGCAGATTTATATTTTAATAGAAAATTATATGTAAAAAAATATATGACCTTTTATATTATATAATTTATACTGATCAATATACTGTTTTGATTACAGTCGTTAAAAAAGATTACAAGAGCAAAACCACGTGATTAACGAACTCAAGTGGTAACAATTTCTCAGTCGATAAGAAATAGAATCGTCATTTGACAGTCGTAACCTAACCCTTTATTGGAAAAACTACGCGTTACGAAAAGATCAAGATCTGGAGTCGTGTTAGGATTTCGAGACATTAATACGTACCTATTTCGTCAACGATACCATCGGATAAAACCTCCCTCGTGAGATTCGTGATGTGTCCTTTTAAACTGGAGATACTGGATAAACTGTCACCGAACCACGCCATTTTTCGCGTTAACGGTGAACGTCGCTTGTGTTATTCGATAAGTACACTGGCATTTATCACTGTGAACGATCGTCGTGCGTATGACACATCGCAATGATGGAAAACTCGAATTCGTTATGTCTATGCGAATTACAAAACATGCTAACACGTATACACTTGACAGCAGACAGGTTGAAACTCTTTCTTCTCGATGAGTTTTGGAACACACTCGAGCCTTAGAATACATACTTCTAATGGCTTCTGCACACTGGACGCGGAAACGCTCGCCGTGAGAAAAAACGTGACATAGTAGCTAATAAGCTCATAGCTTCTAACATGTTCATTGGTTATCGTGTCGTATTCTACCGCGCGGCAAACGTTTCCGCGTTCAATCACAGTTCAGTGTGCAGGAGCCATAAGGCTCCTCCAGCCAATTGTTCATGGAGCTGTACAGTGAGCGATTGTACCAACTGTCGAGATTGCCGTAACGTAACAGATGTTCAATCAAATTTTAGTCATATATTTGATTTAATTAAAAAAATTTTTTTAATTAATAAGTATTAAGTAATTAATAATGTATACAGCATGCGAGATAAAATTTCAACAATTAAAACAATAAAAATTAGTGATTTTGGAAACTGCAAAAACTTTTAGAGATCATAAAAAAATCGTCAAAATTATTAAAACGAGTGATGTGTACAAATAAAATAACAGAAGAGAATTGAAATACTTATCTTCCAAAAAATCTTAACATTTATAATTGTTGGTGCGTTCCAAAACTTGTCGAAAAAAAGTGTTTTAAATCTTATTGAGTGTGTATGTTCCTACGAAATATTACAGCAACGTTGCAGCAATATTACTTTGAAAGATTACAATATTGTAACAATATTGTCCGCTAAAATAAAATATTGATGCATATTCTGCGATATTCCTGCAATATTTAAAGAAATATCGTAGATATATTACGGCAACATTACGTATATTTAATATTATAAATTTTGATGACGATTTTTTTAATAAATTCGAAGAATTCGAACTTTTGATGGTAAAAAAACTTTTAGTTAAAATTGTACCTACATTGTATATAAAGAATATTTTTTTAAAAATAAAATGTTGTATAAAGATATATAAGATTATCGATAATATATGCGCAAAGTTTTTTATATTTTCCTATTTTATTTTATATTTTTATTTTACTAAAGATTTTAATAAAGCTCTAAATATATAAAAGCGCGCTGTTTATCTGCTTGCTCTTATATTTCATTTATTTCAATATTGCATTTATTATAACTCGATTATGATTGCGAGATTATTATACCTTGGAACTGTATCATTCGTGAGAAACTAATTTTACACGTAATTTATAACGTACGAATGACTGTAATTTCGGAAATATTATCATAAATTATCGATTTTTGCCACGAGTGCGACGTCCGGATGTGTTGCTAATTTATTTTTACTGAAAATATACTTGCCCCGCATGGAAACCATGTTATTTCTGTCGTTACATTTCCCTCATTACATACGAAAATTGGAGAATCGCTTAATGAAACGTATGCAAATCGCGTTTAGGAAGCACGGAAAGAACTTGACGAAGCACGGTTTTGTTTCCATTATCGAGATGTCTGCGTCAAAATAAGGAAAAAAGTCTAAGCACGTGTCAATATAAAGAAATATGTCATATAAATAAAAATATAATATGAACATAAAAGATGTAACATAAATTATAGTAACTAAACATGAATGTTTATTATGTAGCATAAAGGATTACATCTAGATACATATGTAACAATACAAAATTATAAAATAAAATTAAAATGACATCAAATAAGAAGTCATTATAGGAAAAGTTATAATGATGTCACTCGATACTTTTATTATCATGTCTAGAATTCATCATAAAGTCATCATAAAGTTAAAAATGTATCGAATTACATTATGATTTTTCCTAAAATGACTTGCATTTTATCTTATGATTTTGTGTTCTATCTGGGGGAGGATATAAGAAATACAAATATCTACAAGACAAAGTTTGCCTTGGCAAAAATAATAATTGGAGTGTAAGTCGAATGTAAGGGGAGAGTGACAGAAATGTAGACGAAGCTTTTAGGAGGCAAAAATTGAGACAACGAAACATAAAAGAAACATAAACGCCTCTTTTACGTTTCATTGTCTCAATTTTTGCCTCTTGTAAGCTTCGTTTACGCTTCTGTCACTCTTCCTTTACATTCGACTTACGCTCTGATTTTTATTTCCGTTAGACACTCTACAGCATATATAAATATATAAACTGTAAGGTATTTGTTCATGTCTCTTGCTTTTCTCGATAGGTAAAGGTTATTAGTCTCGCGAAAAGATGTTTTGCATATCACTGCATCGCAGAAAATATTCTGGGTAATCAATAACGTGTGTATAAAAGTACACGGAAGAAAGCTCGAAAAATAATCTGCAGTTGCGCTCGACTGGCCGTGTGTGGTACAAATGTGATGGCGCGTGCCTTTCACGCCATTCTCTAGATACAGCGATAGAAATCGCAGCACTATATTTCATAAGTAATAGCTTACTCTTACATCTATTGATTTATTAAATGATATTCCTCCAAACGACTCCGCAAATCTAAAAGGATAACGAAATGCAAAATACTATAAATAGAAATGTCGATAAGAGTTTAACTTTAGATTCGCGTAAACTTTAGATCACGTTACTCCTATCCTGCAATCTACTAAAAAGCAGATAAACACCGTTTCGCACCGCGTAAAATCCGCTTCTGACATTTGCTGAGCAATAATACGCTTTAACGTCGTTTTAACGTAAAGCTCTCTTTTTTATTTTCAATCGTTTTAAATTTACGTCAACTATGCTGACACATTTCGATGCGACGAAATTGCACAGCGCGAATTTAAATAGCGCGAGGTCAACAACACGAGACCTCGAAGTCATTATTCTTCACTCGATAAATACCGGTTATTGGCATTTTATATTAAACGCGAATTTTTCCACAAAACTTTTTTGAACGGGCGCAACAGCAAAGAGAAGCCTCGAGTCTTAGCAAGCCTTAGTAAGTGGTATATAGTAGTGGTATATCTCTGAAAAAATTGCGCACGTGATTTATCCGACGAAAATTTCTGTCGGCGCCCATGGGACAGAATCGGGAACGATGTCGAGCACCCCTCCTCTCCCAAGAAACGCGATGGCGAGGAAATCCCAGGGCGAAGGGGCTGAGGGATGGAGGGCTGAGAGGAAGTCGGTGGTGGTTTCGATGATAGGGATAGGGGTGGCGCGCGGACGGGAGCGCCATCTGGCCGTTCAGTGCCCGGCCACCCTCGGTACATCCCGTGTGACTCGCGCTCGCGGCTTCCGGATTATCGCGGCTAGTTTAGCGGGCCCCGAGGATTGGGACAGCAGTAGTGCACCGTGCCTTAAATACAGTGACCAGTGTATGCCTTGAACGCGACGCGACAAAAAGGTAATTATCATCCGAGTGGTGATGGTGGCGGTGGCGACGTCGACGGTCGCGAGAGCGGCTGTCTTTCTCACGCGCTTTCTCCATTTCGAGCGTGAGATGTGTGAAGTAAACGGGAAGAACGGAGGTGGGCTAATCGGAGTTGTGGCGTAGAGAGAAAGTGGAAACGCGGAGGCACCTAAGATTTCCTCGCAAGGATCTTGGCTTCTCGCGAGGGGAAGCGATGCCGAGACGACCGAGACGAGGCGCACGCGATTCGACGAATCGATCCGTCCCGTCCGTCTGCCGCCCCGATACCACGGCTAACCACGGCTAACCACGGCTCGGTATTCGCGCGAGCCCGAGTACTCTCTACTCGCGTCGCGTCATCGTCTTGGACCTCCTGCGCGAGGATGTTGCCAAGTTATTCTCTCCCTTCAGGCGTCTCCCCCTCGACCGAACGACCGTGAGGCCGATATCGGCGACGTAATATCGGCGACGACGGGGGCGAAGGCGCGCGTTGTGATTCGCCCACACGGGGGCGAACGGAGACTCCTCGAGGTTTGCTTAGACCTACCGAGAGAGAGAGAGAGAGAGAGAGCGCGCGATAGCTCGGTCACCCGCGGTGGAAACGTGGGCCGTCACCTCCTCGTCGACGCTCGGCCGCGTCCGTCGGGTCTGCCTCCCGCGCGCGATTGATCGTCGTCGGCGGCGCGGCGCGCGTCATCGCCGCCGTCTGTCCATCCCGACTGACGACTCCCGCTTGCTCCGGTAGTAGACGCGTGTCCGGACGACGGCGACGACGTCGACGACGCTCGGGCCCTCTATTTCCCAACGCGGTCCAACGTTTGGCGAGGCCGTGCGTGTACTTACGCGTCGCTGGATCCCCCACGTTGGGTGCATCGGAGGAGAACGAAGACGCGATCGCGAGGAACGGAGTTTCATTGAATATTTACGGGATTCTCTCGCGATCGCTTCTCGATCTTCACTGAACACTTGGACGTGTCCCTCCTTCCCGAAGAGATCCTAATGTTCTTAATACGCCTGATTTTAATTTAACATCGCAACTATCCTGTTCCCTCTCTCGTCTACGTTTTTCCAAAAATAGTTTCTCGTTCAATTCCTTCGACGTCACTTGGATCTGTCATCTCCTCCGTCCGATAATTAAGCTCGAAACGTGACTTTGTTTGAACACGCGTCCGCCACAATGCCGAATTTATGCGGGGTTGGCAACGAGGCGAATCAGATGGCAGATTATTCGTTTTAGCTTGACAAGAGATAAGAGCAGAGGTAAGCGAATGATTTGCTGATTAGTTACGTACCTGCTCCTTGACCTCGCCTAGAGATCCTATAATAGAGTCTGACTAGAAGCAATTTTATTAAGAATAAAAAAAAGGGTGTATATAATATCTCTTTTTATACGTGCTATCTTAATTTTTAATCTGTATCTTTTTTACTTGTTCTTACTTATTAAAGTTGACAAAAATTGACGAGCTAATCAAAGGTTTGTCATCTTGGTTTCCGTAAAAGGGTCTCTAGCTAGCCTCGCGTAAGATCGTTACGGAAAAGGAACGCTAGAATTAAGTTAAGAAAAACGCGAATTGCTTGTTTTTCTTGAGAAAATGTAATAATAAGATATCTCGCTATTTGACTGTCTATCTCCAGCTTCGCGCATTCTCAGTTTAACATGGAGCATTTCCTTAAGCAAAGTCAACAAGCAAGCAAATTTAGATAGAGAGAGCGAGATACCTGTTTACCTTATTCAAAGGGAGTTAATTCAAGGACCGAGTGAGAAGCTCGCTTCCGTCTCCACGTTGGTTGATTTTTTTTTAATCCAATGCGCTACGACTTTCTGCAGATGTTCACGAATAGAAGCAATATTCAAGCAAACGGTTTATCTTTTCTGTTATTCCTTATCACGCGAGATCCGTGAGATAAGTAAAGTATGCATGCTAGTAGCATATGGAGAAACGTAAGCGATAAAAACGCAAAGTAGTAAGCAAATCAACATTTTTTGTTTTGCTGCTGCTTACGCCATTGTCTTACGTTTTCGACCGTGGTCAGCTACTTCGCTTATCGCTTACGTTTTTCGACTATGCGTCATTAGCTTTCCTCGCGTTCGGCTTGCTTTCTCACTGGTTATGATGAATGTACGCCAAATTGAGGGAGAAACTAGTCGAGCCAAGTAACGCTTACTTTGCTCGCTTCTACTTTTATCGCTTTCTGATCTTCTCTCTTAATTTCCTCGACTCGCCTTCCCCCGTTTCGTGCGAACTCAATGTTACGCTCAATGTATACGCGATATTAATAGAGAAGCGAATTGCAGGCAATGTATTTCAATCAATTTATCTAATCTCTCGATACTTTTTCGCAAACGCGAAATAGGCGAATCGCTCGCTATCTGACTTGCCTTCCTGCAATTTTATGTTTACAATGTTGCATTGAGAAAAAAAATGTACTAAATTTTAATATATATTTGTTTGTACTGAATATTTATTAGATTTAAATATATATATTATTTGGTATTTACAAGAATTACTTTCATTTAACTATCATTCTTTTCTTTAGCAAATGTATAGTATTTATTTAGTAAGTAAATGTTAAGTTATAGTACTTACTATTCACAAACAAATATTTATTAAATTTTAGTACATTTGTTCTCAGTGTAAAAATCGTTCCGAGATTTCAGACGAAGAAAAAATTAACAAATTACATGTGACCAGGGTGATTGGTCAATTCTTTCTCCACCCGGAGATCTCGGAACGATTTCTAGCATCATAGACAATACAAAGTCTTACCACTGAGCACGGTGCCGCGTATTGGACGCTCGGTGCGAATGCAAATACGTACGCACATGCATACAAGTAAACTGTACATACGCACGCAAATGCACACGCACATACAGCGAGTCGATCGATTTTCCGTTCCCGATTCCGCGGCGCGGCGCGGCGGCGAGCCGAGCTGAGCCGAGCGTACAGTCGCACGCGCGCACGCATATACACACACAATATACAGGGGATTTACACGGGTTTTCTGTGTCGTTTCTCACGTAGGTCTCTCAGGTTGACGAGCGTTCTGCAATAGCCCCCGCGATGCGATTGTTCCTAGCTATAGATACTTGAGCGACGACGAATGAATCGTCCGCCGCGACTTCGCGTCTGCGATCGGAGAGCCGGGAAGAGTTTGAAGATTTAGGTATGTAGCAATTTTTCACCCTGTCTCATTTTACGTCTCTCCTGCCGGCGATCTCTATCCCGAAACGATCCGGATCTGTCCGGGAACGATGGGACGTCGAGATGGAAGGTCGGGTTTAATTAACGGGAGCAGCTGGTTACACAATTAAGAGTGAACCACTTACACAATAATAAGATTAGAAATATCACTTGTAATTTGATATATTTTCTTACCGATCTAAATCGCGGGGTAGGTATGTTCGATTATTCGTTGTAAAATGAAAAACTCAATTTCAATAATTCGATTTTTTGCATTTTTCAGACAATAAATTTTATTCTATTTTTTCGTATCTCCCAACAAACAAGCTGACGTTATTTATCGTCATTTTGACGTCAAAGTGATGACAAATAACGTCGGCTTTTTTCGTTGGGATATTATACGTATCCCAACGAAAATGTCCGAATCTGGGTTTGATTACAACCGTACGTAAAAAAAAAAAAAAAAAAAAAAAATGTAAAATATCGAGTCGAAATATAAATATTTAGCATTCTCTTGTTGCGTATGTCACGTGCGTGGTTAATTGAACGCGAGCTCGTAAAAATTGTTGCCGGAGTGGTCCAGATTGCTTCAATCGAGAGAACGCTATAACTCTCCCTTCTTCATCCCTCTACCCCCTCTTTCTTTCCCTCTCTTTCGAACGCACACTGTTCCAAAGTATTCACGACACCACGTATAGTGCATCTGCGCGTAATGCTGTACATTGACCGTCCAATCTTGAGAGACAAGACATCTTCAGGATGTACAATCAAGTTTGATTAATCCTCTGTGCACAATCTTGTTTAACATAAAGAAGGTGGATCAGAGAGAAAGTAGGTGAGGATCTGAAGTTTAATGTTATAACGAAAACAAAAGATTTCTGTATTATCGGAAAAGCTTTTTCTGCCCACAGCCCACTTATGAATATGAGATTCTCTTCGATATTCATGGATATTATTTTCTATACTTTGTGAGTCTTTCAGATTAAAATATATTTGCAGATTTGCTATGGCTCCCCAACTCAAAATTATAATAATTAGCAAGTAAATTTGGAGTTCTTGAATATCGTGACTTTATAACATTAAATTTCGTTAGCTTTAGTAACAGCGTAGACCCACCTCTGATGATTGCTTAACTACTGTGTTGTATTTTCGATTGTTTGACTAGTTTTATATATTAAGATTTAACTGTATATGTATAAAAATAAAACATATATATATATGTGTGTGTGGGGAGAGAGAGAGAGAGAGAGAACATTTTTAGAGAATAAAATTCGCAAATGTTGCATTCACCGGAGAATTTCAATCAGAGAACAGAGTCCGTCAGTGAGATTAACGAGAATCACTGTCAGAGAACAAAATTCTGACGCGTGATTCAGTTAACAATAGCGATGGGAAAGTCCGATTTTTTTCAAGGATTCAATTTCATTAAAAACTCTATAATATATGGAGAATGTAATTTTACAATTGACGTAACGAGGTGTAATGACTATAATCGGTATAATATTAGAATGGGACGCGAGCGAAATATATCGATTCGACATAAAAGAAATTTCGGAAACGTTCTTTTGTGAATCCGATGTAAAAGAGGATAAGAAGAAAATTCAAGCACGGTTTCACAACCGATCGCCCTGTGATATGTGAAATATTCGATGTACGCGATCCATCGGAGTGACTTCCTGTCGATTCCGTTTGGCGTACCTGTTTTTTGTGGCGTGTTGCCGACAGGTGCTCGTAGAATATCAGACGTCCCATCGTGAATTTTCGAGCAAATGTACGTCGCTATATCGTTACGATGTCGTTCACCTCTCTCAG